GTTGTGTATAACAAGCTTCCGGAGCTGACACAGTCATCCAGCACCACCGAACGGATCCCATATGTTACATGTTTACAACCCAGGATGTTTCTGGCTGCGACTGACACGCGTGGGGCAATGCGAACTGAATCAACTGGGCGATCCAAATTCTGCTTCACCTCACGCCGGCCAGAGACTCTTGCGGTGCTCGGGTTTCGGAGCTGGGCTGCGTGAAATGAAAGGTCCCAGAACCCTGATGTCAAAACCTCTCTGTCGGACAGGCGGAAACTCCCGAAACAACATTCCCAGGAGATTCGAGCATAAAAAGTATACAGCAATGCAGCCCCGAATTGAATAAGAAGATTTGCTCGTCAGTCGGAAACCACGCCAAGAAAACGAAACGGCCTACGGCGCTCACCCCTCAGGTTTCACTGTCGTATCAGCTGTGTAGGTCTACTGAGTGTACTGGGGCTTTTGGAATTGAAAGCGGCAGTGGTGCAGCAAGCTCGCTCTCTTTCTTCAATATTCGCTCTAAAGGCTTTCACCTTGAGCAGAAACGGCACGGTCGATCACGCCCAAACGGGAACCGTGCGTCTTTCTGGAGCAAAGCCCGAACGCAAGAGCCAAACACGGCCTTGCGCAGCTACTCAAGAGTTTCGATCTAGGACATCCCGCAGATCTTGGGCGGCAAAGTTGGAATGGAGGTGTCAGGTGATGGACGGGCAGAGTTCCTCCATAGAGCTCTGCATAAACATGTGTTTACTTAACCCCGCGTTTCAATATGTCCCCTTCAGCCGCAGCATCTCATTTGGGGCAGAGCATGTACAGCAAGCATATATGACCAGAAGGCATGTAAACGCTTCTAACATGTGGGCCCTCTGTGCTCCGGGGTGTGCCTGAACAGCAACACACACAAGCACATATGTTTGACAGTTCATATCTGATTGAGACACCGCAAGTTTCAACTCCCCAGTCGAAAACAGGCAGAACCTGGGATCTGAATCTTCAGAGTCCTTGGCGTCGATCCGTCGCAGGCCTCTCGCCTGACTGTCCTTGACCCCAGGCGATGGGGAGAACTTGACCTCCGCGAATTGCAATTTCGGGCAGTAGGACAGTCAAAGGGATGCTGACAGCCTTTACATTTGGGTAAGCTCGTTCGATTTCGTTTGACTTTTGGAAAAACAATCGTCGCCATAAGCTGAGTGAAGTCTTTAGGAGGCAGTTCTAGGAGAGCCCTGTGTCCGCAATGGCCTGTTCTCAGAATCTGTGTTCCGTTGTGCCAGAAACGGGAACACTGGTAGAAGCAGCCATGATCTGGTACCAAACCAACAGGCAAGAATGGAACCGTCAACCTTTCGAGCACGCGGGTTGTCCTTGCGACGCTACTTCAACTTTTGTTTTGATGCATATAAATACTTGTCATGGAGGCTCGGTGGACAATCAAATCATTGGCGTGATCTTCTTTTGAGCTTTTACCCGTTTTTGGATATCAGATTATTCAAAAACAAAAACGCACATTGTCTGAACATATTGAAATATTCAGTTGTCAACAACCGCGGAACATTTCAATTCCAGCAGTTCTTGAACTTGAACAGAACTTTAGAAAGCTTCTTCGATTTTTTGGGGACCTTGATGTTCTACTTGCCTGTTTCCAATTGTTGTGTTGCGGGTGTTGTCATTTTTATCAATGTGCGTCTCCGCTACTGCTGCCGCTCCTGCGCCTGGCCCTGCTCCGGCTTTGCTGCTCTGGCTGCTCCTGCTGCTGCCACTATCGCTGCAGCTACAGCTGCTGCTTCTGTTGGCGACCGTGCTGCTGCTTCCAGTTATCGCTGCTACAGCTACGGCTGCTGCTACTGCTGCTACTACAGCTGCTGCAACTACTACTGCTACTGCTACTGCTACTGCTACTGCTACTGCTACTGCTACTGCTACTGCTACTGCTACTGCTGCTGCTGCTGCTACTGCTCCTGCTCCTGCTCCTGCTCCTGCTCCTGCTCCTGCTCCTGCTCCTGCTGCTGCTCCTGCTGCTGCTGCTCCTACTGCTACTGCAACTGCAACAGCAACTGCAACT